AAAGAGTATATAAAATAAAGTAGTCTACTACACAAGGATTATGGATATGTACGGTGCGTCTACATCTCAGTACCCATATTACAGATTAGTGGTCTATCTACGATCTCTAGCTATTTGGACCTATTATTTTATATAACTCTTTTATTGGACCTATTATTTTATATAACTCTTTTATTTTCTAGAAACTCCTTTTGTTTTTGTCTACATATTTTTTTGTGTTGATTAGATAAATATATGCACTGATTAATTTAACACTAATTGATAAAATGTAATAAATTTAATAAAATGTAGGTAGAATTGTTTTATTTGTAAAAAAAAATTAAAAATCAGAAAATATTACAAAAATCAAAAAATCTTAAAATATTAAGAAATAATAAAAATACTAAAAAATAAGAAAATATTACAATAATAAAATATTAAAAAATATTAAAATAATAAAATATTAAAAAATATTAAAATATTAAAATATTAAAATATTAAAATAATAATTTAAAAAGTAGAAGACGCCACTGGTGGCGGCGTCTCCTCCCGGTGCCGCCACCAGCGGTGGCGTCTCCGTCCGATGCCGCCGTTCCCGGTGGCGGCCAACACCAATTTAATTACTACTTCAAAAATAACCCCATTTTAAAAACTCCAAAACAAAACAACCCCAAAAAAAAAATTGCCCCTACTTTTAGCTAGTTGTGGAGATAACATAGAGTTATGGGGAGTTATGGGGTGACATGGCTCCCCCAATATTTTTTAAATCACCCATAACTCTTTGTTGTCTTCACCACTTCCTGAAACCAATAGTCCATTAGAACCCTATCGGAATAATGTATCAATTACATTATCCCGTTAGAGTTTTTAACTACCTTTCAGGGGGTGAGTGTAATTATTGATACCACAGGGACCTTACAGTTATTTAAGCATACCTCAGGGGTGTGGGTGTAATTTACCCTAAAATTTATTAGTAATATCATTATCAACATCAATATTTATACAAATTTAAGAGATTTATTAACAAAATAGGTTATTAGGGTTTCTTTCTTTCATATATAAAGATAAACGATGATAAATTTTAAATTATATATAAATTTGACCATAATTTGGAATACTAATCGATTGAATAATGGTTCATTTTTAGAATACAATAGTGACACAAGTTTGTGAATAGCATCTCGATTTTTTAATTTTATTTTGAAAATTATGTGAAAAAATTAGAATTCTAAGATGAATATTTGACTTTCTTTGATTATTTATAAATATAATTGCATTTTTTTGGTTCCATTATAGCATATATATTTAATTGGGAAATTACAGTTTTCATCCCTCAAGTTTGCACTAATTTTTCACATTTGGTTCTTCATCTTTCAAAAATTAAACGTTTTAGTCATTTTCGTTAATTTTCCGTTAGTGCTAACGGAATCAACTGTGTACCCATTACTGAATTAACTATCCGACTACCGGTAAATTGACGGTAAGGAAAAAAGTGTTAAATTTTTGAAACACGAGGGACCAAATTTGTTTTTGTGAACATGAGAGACCAAATGTGGAATCAGTGCAAACGTGAGGGGTGAAAACTGTAATTTTCCCAAATTTAAATTGTTATTAATTTTGGGCTGAAACTTCATATTATTGGGCTGTTATTGTAACCGATTAAAAAAACCGATGTTATTTTATACAAATTTACACACTCAAATTTGCACTAATTTTTTATTTGGTCCCCCATGTTAAAAAAAACACATTTGAATCCTCATATTTTAAAAAATCAACATTTTTAGTCATTTTCGTCAATTTTCCGTTAGTACTAATGGAATCAAGCAGGTGTCCGTCACTACCTTAAATGACAGATTAATGGTAAATTGACAGAAATGACCATAAGGTATAAATTATCGAATAACGAGGGATCAAATGTGTTTTCTTGTGAACATGATGTACCAAATGTGAAATTAATCCAAACTTTAGGGATGAAACTGTAATTTTTCCGATATTTTTTCACATGTATAATAAAAATAAACCATAAATATAGGGATCTGTTAATATTAATTTAAATTAAAAAAAAAAAACAATGAAACTGTGACTTATGGTAAAATATTAAGCACAAAATGCACTAATGCAGCAGTAAAAGCCAAACACAACTTTAAAAAATAAATATTTTTTATTTACAAATAAATTATGACCACTGGGTAATGGCAGAAGACGACGCGCCACCACTTCAGCCGCCGCCGCCTTCATCGGAATCCTCCCCATCGGAATCATCGCCGTAATAGGAAGCGTAGTAGAGATGGCGATTAGGGTGTGGAGCGACGCAAAGATAAGTCCACAAGAAAAGGGCAAATCTGCCCAACTGCTGAAGAGGGAAACATACGACCAATTCCAACATCTGATCGCTGCTTATTCGCTCCGGCAGACACGCCAGCCGCTGCCACACCGCCGCCGATATCTCCGCCGTCGCCGCCACCAGTACGCTGTTGAACGGCATCGTTTCTGTATCTGATCTACAAATCTGATGGTGGACTCTTTTTTTTTTTTTTTTCTAATAATGATTTTGTTTGATTAATTAGTATCTGTCTCCATTATTAATTATTAATAATTATGTAATTGGTGGTGGAGGCGATATGTTTATTAATTATTTATTTATTTATTCATTTTGATGAAAATGAAACTTGGCCAATCATATCTTTTACAAACAAGACTTATCCAATTTTCATCAATATTCAAACTAATCACATGTTTACTTGTAACTTGTAAGTCCGTCACACCTAGTGATTGAAATCGGAATGGAATTTTCAAATTTCGACGATTTCAATCAGAAAATATCAGAATTTGGAACTATATTTCGAAGTTTCAATATCTGATTTGTTTTTGGAACGAGATTGAAATTCTATATAAAATTACGGAAAATTCTGATTTTCAATCCAATTTAGTTTATTGTAATTGTTATTCTAAATATATAATATAATTTTATAATATTTTTTGTAATTCCATGATATAATATATGTTATGTTTTATATGAAAAATACGAATACCCACATACCAAATAAACTATAACCATTGAAAATATTAAGTTACTAATTGAGCAGTATCTATAGATGAACTTATGAACCAATAATGAAAACCGTAACAAAAAAACTTGAAAGAAAAAAAAAATATTAATTGATTGAACATCTAATAAACAATCCCAAAACACCATGAAAACTAGAATAAATAAAACATGTAATTTTGAAAAAGAAAAACCGAAAATAAATTTCAATAAACTAGAGATATTCATAAATTAGAAAAACGGTGAAACGTAACTAAGCTTTCGACGTAGATATTGGCATCAATCTCAACATTATATTTAGGAGTAGAAGAATCAATCATATCAACTCGAGACTTATGCAACACACCAAATCCATTGTATACAACCGCATCCGGTCCATAAGACACTAGGATAATACTATCTCCATTCTCGGCAGTCGTCAACCTCAACCATAACATGCACGTGATTCCACGCGCCATCTCACTATAAAGTGTCCAAGCCCTAATCCAAGATCCCGTCTCACCGTACTTTGTCATAACCCAAACATCAGTAACTCTGGAATTTACTTCGTGATAACTAGTGAAGCTAAGATAGCCTCCCAAAGCATGCAACTGTGTTGGCTATGCGTACGATCCGGAAAGTTTGGCGGGCGACCCACAATTTCGTATTTCTCCTCCGACAAATCAAGAGCAACAATATCCCATTTACCACCATTGTTGTGTTTAATCAGCCAATGGAACTTTCCGTTGACAAACTTTCCGTTGATAAACTCTTTGTTACCATTGAACGTAAACTCATTGTCGAAATTCTGGATTTTCTTCCAAGAACCGGTCCTCGAACTGTATATCTCGGTCGGACGGTGGTTCATGTATGAGAAGAAAATGCAGACGATTTTATACTCGTCGGTAGATTCCACATATCCTAACCCATATAAGAAAGATCTGCGACGAATGTTCTTAAAGCCGTCGGTAAAACAATGAGATTCGGGTGGAACAATTTTCTTGGCTTGTCTTGTTGTAGGGTTCCACATAAATAAATCTCTCATGCCTATGGTGACGAGCGTTAGGCCGTTACACGATCCCAATATTCCAAAACCATCATTATTAGGGTTTCCGTCGTCACCAATAGTTGTTGACGTCATCATCTCGGGATATCGATAGTATGGACAATAATATCGATGAAAATAGTTGGCGTCGGCGTCGGCATCCTCGGATATGCGGTCGTATATGTGGTCCGTTGGATGACGATCAGAAATTGTGGCGGTCGAATTCTCGAGTAAAGAACTAAGAGAACATGACCTCCGACTACGATTGATGAAATCATCAACGCGGTTTAAGATGAAGAGCCTATTATGGCTCAAATATGTAGTCGATTTTTTGAGGTGGCGTTTGATGAAACTTTTACTGGAGAATAAAGAACGCCATTGTTTCGAAACGGACTTGAATCTCAAAAGGGATTTTACTGGAAGATTGCACAAAATTTCTTCGATTATTTCTTCGGGAAGATCCGTTGAAATTAACCCTAACTCCTAAACAAGAGTTGATAAATACACACGCATATATGTATAATATACACAAAAATTTGTCAAATAATTAGAATCAAACTAGGGCTCTCTTTCATTATCATCAATCAATCAGTTCCAAATCAAAATAGGATTCTCTATCCTTATCCAATACTAAGAAAAATCAATATTTGATATTATTTAAATGGTAGAGTATATATATACAAAATATATTTTTAAAGCATAGTTAACAGTATGCATTATAACAAAATCTCCTACATATATATTTATCTAATCTTTGGTCACTCATAATCTAAATTAGGTATGCCACGAAACTCGCCGGTTCACTACGATACAACGGGGGCAATTGTCTGACAAAGAACTTTGTGATTCAATCATCCGACAACACACCATGGTCCATCTCCGATCGGGTAGGGATGCAAATACACAGAGAATTGAACAAAAACTCGAAAGCATAAAAAATGCAATAGCATCTCTCGGCGCCGAATTAAGGGCGAACATAACAAGATTTCACAACATTGAAAATGCAATAGCATCTCTTGGCGCCGAATTAAGGGCGGAATGGTATAATTTTACAATATTAACCTTCAAATCATTGAACATATAAGTTTATTTACAAACAAAATAATGAATACTATTTACTTAATAACAAAATTATAACTATATGTAACCCATAAAAACGTAATTATAACAATAAACCTAGTAATTATTATATTATTAATTTAGTGAAAATAAGTGCGTATAAAGTAAATTTACTTCTAAAACCTTTCACTATAAATATCAAACATAAAGTGGTAAATTACATTAAGAGTTGAACCAATACATACAATTAAATATAGTATATTTAAAAGGGGAAAAAAGTAAACGGCAGGACCAATCACCCATGCCGCAGGAGAGCTAAATATTGTAATATCATTTTTTTGTGGGGATAAATTAGCATAGTAACCATTCAGCATAACCTCTGGATGAATAAGTTGTGTATTTTGATCTGAATCGGTAAGCACCTAATGACTTGGTTTAGATGTCTAAAACAAACACTCTAAATGAAGGAACCACTGACCGAATCAGAAATTGGTGTCACTTGGCGGTCATTCAGAGGTATCAAACATGCCCTTAGAGGGGCACTTATGTTTTTTCACACAAAATTTAGCACAAGCAGTCGCATTGGTAACGCGTGAATAACACGAACGAGATAAATGGAGGTGTATGACTTTGACTACTAATCATAGGGATTTTTTTTGTCACTTAATTTTACAACAAAGGGGGTGTTGACCTTTAGGAATATCACAGGGGGTGTTTTTGCATTTAACTCATTAATAATTATGTAGGTGCTGGTGGAGAAGATATGTTTATTAATTAATTAATTATTTATTTATTTATTTGGATGAAAAATGAAACTTGGCCAATCATATCTTTTAGGATAAATTAAAATCACCCCTGAGGTAAGATCAATTTACGAAAAACTCCTTTTTGTTTGGATAATTAAATCCACCCCTTTAACTATAAGTTTTCTTACACGTTCACCCTTGCGTTTTAAATTTAGTGCAATGTTGTAGCAAGATAATCATAAGATGTGTTTTTTGACTTGTATATATCCGATTGTGGTGAATAAAAAACTGTACTTTTGCACAAAACGAGTACAAACTAGAGAACATTCCACATAATTTAGATGATTATGTTGAATTTGACACCATAAGGGTGGAGAGGTTAGAAGATTCATAGTTGAGGGCGGTAGATGTAATTATCCAAACATGATGGGTTTTTTTCTTCATAATTTGACCATAGCTTAAGGGGTGGTTGTAATTTACCCTATCTTTTACCTGAAAATCCCGGGGCTTGAGCCCCCGTGAGACCCTCTGACGCTCATGTTAATTGGGAAAATAGTTCAAAAAAGAATACAATGAAATAGAGAAGAAGACGATGCAAGATCTGTGATTTGATCGTGTGATTTAGTGTGCGTAGGAGTGTGTATTGTCTGTAAATAAAACATACCTTTTATGATGGAGAATATGGTGTATTTATTAGTTAGAGGTTATTGCAAATACTACCCCTGTGTTATCTCTAATTGGCAAATACCCTCCTACGAAAAAAAAACTCACCAACACCACCTTGTGTTAACATTTTCGAAGCACACTGCATCATTTGTGATTTTAGGCTTTGACTGAAGGTAAAACGACAAAAATGGCCTAATGGGTTTTTCAGCAATTAATAAAACATATTATAATTTTATAGATATTATATTTTTTTTTTATTTTATAAATATTAAAAATAAAAAAAAATATATTAGAACCAGAATAAAATATATACCGTAACATTAATTTTTTTTATATGTTTTCTATTTTTTTTTCTTATGACATAAAGAAAGCAAAGAAAAAATAAAAAAAAAAGCCTTCTTCTTCCCCACCCAACTCACAGCACACACATCCACCATTTCTCAACCCGGCCGCCGGTTCTGCTCCGCCGCTGCTCACCACCATCTCACCTCCTTCACCACCACCACCATTTTCTCTAGATCCGCCGCCCACCAATAAATTTTAGTTTATTGAAACTTTAGTTTCTACCTATAAACTTTACGCGGGCCTCAAACCTTTCCCAATCTCCTATTGTGACGGCGGTGGTGGCGATAAGGAAGAGCAAGAGAAGAGAAGAGAAGAAAATGACGCAATTTTTAGACCTAGCAGGTTTGGCCGTTATCAATGTCGCCGCCGTCGAGAGAAAACGCTTGGAGATGTTAGATAGGCCATTGATATAATTGGGGCTGGGTTGTACGGATTCGAGTTTGGTATGAAGATTGTAGAAGATGAGGTGTGATGGTGCTGACCTGCTTCTTCTCTTTCTCGTAGGGTTGGGGTTGGGGGTTGGGGGTTGGGGGTTGGGGTTTGGTGTTGGTGAGCTTTTTTTTCACAGGGGGATATTTGCCAATTAGAGATAATACAGGGGTGGTATTTGCAATTAGCTCTTATTAGTTATATCTATTCTTGAGGTTTTGATTTAATTTTGAGCCCATTAAATATGATAAAATTGGATAATAAAATCCAATCTAAAATATTTAGACTAGCCCAAGAAAATAACAAATTGACCCCATCAGTGTCGATATTAAATGAAAATGGCCGGCCTGTAATTTTCAAATATAAAACTAGTTAACAAATTGGGGTTTTCGATAAAACCCCAATTTTACTTTTATCTTAGGTCTTTCGCCATGGCAGAATTGTTTGAAGAAGAAGTTGGTTTCGGTTTAGAGTGGCCCGGCGAAGGTGATATAATTCACCGCGTCGATGTTGGATCACTCGATGCTTTAGCCGTCGGTGCTATACCGACTGTCGAACAGGTTTTTTTTTTTTTTTTTTTTTTTATTGTTGTGATAAAATGGTGAACAGTGACGAGTTAGATCTAGGGATGATTCTAAACCTTCATCCTGTTCTTTTTTATCCATTTTAATGCTTTACTTTTCAATTTTCTTCAATTTTAGGGTTTGAGGGAAAAACAATATTGTAGGAAGAGAAATTATCTTATATTTTTCTGGAGAAAGAGGTTAAGGATGTTTAGTTAAAAGTCAAAATTATCCTATAATTTGTGTGCATTTATCATTTCAGTTTATTTTTTCAATTATTTTATATATATATATATATATAGATTTTTGATGTATCTAATGTTTGATCACTCATAATCTAAATCAGGTATGCCACGAGACTCGCCGGTTCAGTATGATACAACGGGCGAGTGGGGGGCAATTGTCTGACCAAGAATATTGTGATTCCATAATCCGACAACACACCATGGTCCATCTCCGATCGGGTAGAGATGCGAATACACAGGGAATCGAACAAAAACTCGAAAGAATCGAAAATGCAATAGCATCTCTCAGCGCCGAAGTAAAGGCGAACGGGCCAAGATTTCACAAAATCGAAAATGCAATAGAATCTCTCGGTGCCGAAGTAAAGGCGAACGGGCCAAGATTTCACAAAATCGAAAATGCAATAGAATCTCTCGATGCCGAAGTAAAGGCGAACGGGCCAAGATTTCACAAAATCGACAATGCAATAGAATCTCTCGGTGCCGAAGTAAAGGCGAACGGGCCAAGATTTCAAAACATCGAAAATGCAATAGCATCTCTCGGCGCCGACTTAAGGGCAAACGGGGCGAGATTTCACAACGACCGCCTTCGCAATAGTCAGAATTGGACTGCCGGCGACTACGCCGTGGTGGTGAAGTACAGAGCCGGACACCCGTATCCCCACTGCCCACGCTGCCCGGATGTTCAATTTAATCAGAGCTATCCCATCAATTCTGCACCGCCTGCGAATTTATTGCCCAAGAACTACAATATGTTCATTGAATGGCAGCGTATGAGTCCAATATACATGAGGGAGAAGTTAGAAGGACTTCACTGGTTCTATAACGACAGTAGGTTCGAGGTGCCGATGAATGCAACTGCACAAATGTGCATTGATGCATTTGCCAAGCTGGATGAGTTTCTTCGCTATCCCGGATACTGTAAGTGTTTGATCTTTTCTTGTTTTGCTTTTCTTGCTGTTCCTATTTGTAATTATTAATTCTTGAATACTTGTTGCCTTTTTTTTTTTCTTTTTTTTTTGTTTGCAGGACCTGTTCTCCTTACAGCTCTCCTTACAACTGATCTGACCTAAGTGATTGATATTAGCAGGATTTCTGACCTAAGTGATTGATATTAGCAGGATTTTCACTTCTAATTTTCGTATTTTGTACTTCGGATTCTAATCTTTATTTTCAAATTGTCTTTAGCAAATATTTGAGTGGGATAGATGGATGATATGTAATGGATGATATATATGAGTTTTATTTATGTAGTTTTTCGGGTAAAGAGCATAAAACCTTGTTCGTTAAGGAAAATTTGCGCCGCTTATTTTTTTCCTTGCCTAGAATCCTCTTGTGTTTCATTTTACTTTGCACGAAATCCCCTTCCGTTAAAAGTTAACGCCGTTAATCGCCGTTAATTATAGAGGGGATTTTATGCAATTTTATAACATATGGGGATTTAGTGCATATTTTCTACAATACAAGGGGATTTTATGCAAAATTAATTTATTCATTTAAATTTCACATTATTTTCTTAAATTAAGTCGAATACATTTATTCAGTTATAATATGAAAAATAGAAATTTAATACGTATGGTGAATAATAAAAAAAATCAATTTTAAAAAAAAAAATTCAATTTAAAATTAAACAAAATAACAGAATCAAAACTTTAATAAACTTGTATGAAATATCGAAAGAAAAATAAAAGAAAAAAGAAAAATCATTTCAATTTCCGAGCTAGGAGTTAATATAGTATTTTCCTAGATGAGAAAATTGTAAATTTGGTCCTCTATGTTGGCCTATTCAGGAATTTAGTCCTCTAACTGGTCATGTTTCAGTTATATATGCAATAACTTTACAAATATAGAATTTTTAGTCCTATTTTACATGATTTTTAATTTTATAACGCGACCAATAAACTTGACGCATTTTACTTATATGATTTACTTATACGAACGCTTGGAAATTTATAAATACGACCTCTAATTTACTATAGGTAAAACTTTAATTATGTTAGACAACACATTTATAAATCAAATCAGATGAACATTTATAATTTTTAAGTGTCCATATAAATAAATTCCTGCGAGTTTGTTATGTACATCATTAAACGACGGCTAAAATTCAAAGTTTGAGTGAAATAGGACTAAAAATACTAAATTTGCATAGTTATTGCATGTAAAAGTGAAATATGACAACTTATAGGACTAAATATCTAAAGAGACCAACATATAGGACCAAAATTATAATTTTCCCTTTCCTGTATTATAACGAAAGCGAAAAGCAACAAAGATTTATTCATCAGATAACAAAACCTCAAACAGAGAAGAAGAAGCTTAAATCAGCAGAAAAATGGAGGTGGCGCTGCACCCAATGAGATTGAAGCAGCTCCTCCACTTCGCCGCATCTTCCAAACCTAACAAAAACCATTTTCTCTTTGGAAGATTCCGACCATCTTTCATCGTTCGTTGCTGCTCTTCTTCTTCTCCGTCTTCTACCACCGCCGCCGCCGCCACGACCGCCGTCCCCGGCGGCCGTAACCGCCGGCCCTCATCGTCAACAAATTCCACGTCCGACAGAGAGGCTGTTCGCGCAATCCGCATCAAAAAGGTCTAATCTTTAACGCGCTACAGACTAGTAATTTGGTTTAAATTCAGTGAGATTTTTTAATTAGGGTTGAAATTATAATTCGATTGATGCATATTATCTTTAATTATAATCTGTACATGAGTTCCAATTAATGAAGCTGTTTTGAACTTGAATCGAATTGTCCTTGGAAAACAAGAAACCGAAAAATTATTTCGAAATGTAATCGATTTTTGGGGATAACTGTAGGTGCGAGAGCTAAGGAGCAATGGCTTCGACCCCTATGCTTATAAGTGGGAACGAACTCATACGGCAAACGAGCTTCAGCATATTTATCAGAATTTAGGAAATGGTGAAGAGTCGACTAGTGAGAGCGATCATGTATCTATTGCTGGAAGAATCGTGGCTCGTAGGGCTTTTGGGAAGCTCGCCTTTTTAACTTTGAGGGATGACTCGGGTACGATCCAGGTACTGTCGGTTTCTTGATTGACTGAGTTGACTTTTCCGTGTTTCTCTGTCGTATATGTGTGCTTGTTGGTGTTGATAATGTCGGAAAAATCTTAGCTTATCTTTGCAATTTATTAAAGAAATTGAGTACGGTATCGAGGTAGCTATCCCGGATTTTAGCAATAGATGATACGAAAACCAACAATTTTCTACGATTTTTTTGTACACGATGCCTTTGCATTCTTCATTCGAAATATTAAGTTGCAGTTGAATAAAGATATTTCTTTTGGTTTTATAGCTGTACTGTGAGAAGGAAAGGCTATTAAGCGATCAATTTGATCATTTAAAGACGCTAGTCGACATAGGTGATATTTTGGGGGCAAAAGGCTCGATAAAGCGCACAGAAAAAGGTATATTCTTGTTCTACTTCATCTTATTTGATTTGTTTTCTCTTGCTTCGTCAAAGTGATTTCACGTTTTTTTTTTTTTTTGAAGGGGAATTATCTGTTTATTTGACTTCATTCTCAATCCTTACGAAATCTTTGCTTCCTCTACCCGATAAATATCACGGCCTGACAGATATAGATAAGCGTTACCGCCAAAGGTAAAAATCTCTTAATTTATTTTATTTCTACAAATGTATTTCTTTTTATTTATGCATACTCTTCATTTTTTTTAATTAGATATGTAGATATGATTGCGAATCCGGAGGTAGCCGACACATTTAGGAAACGAGCTAAGGTGATTCTTTTGTTACGCCTTTCGTTTCTTCGGTGATTATGCTAGCAAGGTGCTAAATTCTGCCTGTTTTCAGTAGATTATATCAGAAATACGAAAAACAGTAGAATCTGCCGGTTTTATCGAAGTCGAGACCCCAGTTCTTCAGGTATTTTACGTGCCTTTTACTATTATTTAGGTAATTATTATCGACAAAAGTATTATACGTAGATAAGAGAACAGAGTACAGCTCAGTTCCAATTGTCTTCCGTTTCTTTGTAAGTACGTAAATTTTTGTTTTATCTTCTATATAATAGGGTGCAGCTGGTGGAGCTGAAGCTAGGCCGTTTATTACGTACCATAACTCTCTCGGTCAAGATCTTTATCTTCGAATCGCAACTGAGCTACATTTGAAGAGAATGCTCGTGAGATTCTCGTTTTGTTAGCATTCTTAATAATTTACAATATTTTAATAATTTATATAATATTTTTTTATATATTTTTTATTTTCTTTATTATTAATGTTTTAATTGCTGATTGACAGGTTGGTGGATTTGAAAAAGTATACGAGATAGGCAGAATATTCAGAAACGAAGGCCTTTCAACTCGTCACAATCCTGAATTCACCACCATTGAGGTAAATCATACCTTTATTTTGCTCGATTTTTTTTTTTTATTTTGACAAAAAGAATGATGAGTATTTGATTATATTTTTTTGCATGATGATTAGATGTACGAAGCGTATTCAGACTACGAAAGTATGATGAATATGACAGAAGAGATTGTAACCCGTTGTGCTATTGCAGTTAATGGGAAACTTACCCTCGATTATCAGGTTACATTTATATATATATATATATATATATATATATATATATATATATATATATATATATATATATATATATATATATATATATATATAGACACACACACACTCTTTGCTGCTTCTTAACGAAGTCTCGTTTTTTATTTTCTTCTGTTGATTTCTTTGCAGGGTGTGGAGATATGCTTAGAAAAACCGTGGAGGAGAGAGACAATGCACAATCTTGTGAAAGAAGCAACTGGGATTGATTTCAACGAGTTTGGAGACGATCTCACTACTGCAAAAGAAGTTGTTCTTCAAAAACTAGAAGTTGGTTGTGATCATCTAAATAAGAGTTCGATTCAATCGTGCTTGTCTATTGGTCGTATGCTTAATGAGGTTGAATTATAACTTATTCACATACTTAATTGAAAGAATAAAAAAAATCATGCTCTTGTTTTTTAATATTGATTTTTTGGAATGTCCAGGTTTTTGAATTAGCCGTAGAACCGCAACTATTGCAACCGACTTTTGTTTTGGACTATCCAATCGAAGTATCTCCGCTCGCCAAACCGCATAGAAGGTGTTGATACTTTTATAAAACCTATTTGTTTTTCCAATTGGATTCTTTTTAGTTTTATTTTTTATTTATTTATATATTATTATTATTATTATAATTTCGATGATCGTACTTTTTTCTTGTGATTTTTTCAGACATGCAGGCTTGACGGAGAGATTTGAGCTCTTCGTATGCGGTCGTGAGATGGCAAATGCTTTCTCGGAGTTGACCGATCCGTTGGACCAGGTAAGAATGCTTTCTTTAAAGCACGGAAATGTGGTTATTTTCTCTTTTCCAATTTTGCCCCTACATAATAATTGACGTTTTTACCAAATGGAGAGCTGTACCTATCGTACGAAACATTGTTATAGTGGATCCATTATAGCAAACTGCTTGATTATGTTAGCGTGCCATCATATACCTATTAAACGAAAAAAAAAAAATATATCGACCTTGAATATTAATGATAATAATAATATATATTCCGATAATTTGGTGTAATTAATAAAATATAGAGAGCACGCCTGGAAGAGCAAGTGAGGCAGCACAACAAGAAGAATGCAGCGAAAACAACATCGGAGAAAGTCGAAGATGAAGACGCGTATAATGTGACTCTTGACGAAGATTTCTTGACTGCTCTTGAATATGGAATGCCTCCTGCATCTGGAATGGTATATACATACATAGATACATACATACATACATACATACATACATATCCCTCTTTATTACTTTTACTGAGATATACGATAAATTCTTATTATATTCAAATTAAATTTAAAAAAATAATAATTAAAACTTGATAAATATTTCAATGTTGTAGGGGCTTGGAATCGACAGGCTCGTGATGCTGTTGACGAACTCGGCTAGTATACGTGATGTTATCGCATTCCCTGTTCTCAAGACTCAGCAGTGATAGGTGTTTCATTTGTGTTCCATTTTCTACATTAATCTTATTTTTTTAATTATTATTATTATTATTCTCATTTAAGGAGCATAATGAGCTATTTAAGTGTATTTTATTTATTTATTTTTTTTGACAACTTTTGTTCATTTGAATTTTGAAATCTTGGATCGTAAATGGAATCGATTACTGAAGTATTGGTTTCATGTCAGTTTAAAGTAATTGATGTGTATTTAAATCGGGTAAGTTACGGCCACCTCCGAGATGATGTCAAATTACGAAAATTCTCCTCATGTTTGGGTAATTACAATTATCCCTCAACTATGAATGTTTTTACATGTTCACCCTTATCGTGTCAAATTCAATAGATACTTCTAGATTCCGTGGAATATTCTCTAGTATGTACTCGTTTTATGCAAAAAGACAGTTTTTGATGCACCGCAGGTTGATATTTATAAGTTAAGAGACACATCTTATGATCATCTTATTTCAAAATGTGGAGTTCGAATGACACAAAATAAGTTTAAATTGGAAAATATACACATAATTTTGGAAGATTTCACTACATTTGACATCGCAAAGATAAACGTGTAAGAAGGTTTATAGTTGAGGACGATAATGTTAATTTTATTGACTGAAGAAGAGGTTTTTTTTTTCTTCATAATTTAACATTACTTCAAATGTGACCGTAATTTACCCATTTAAATTTGAATGGTGCTATATTTCCACACAAGAAACTCTCAATTCATCACCATATTTACTCCACCACCATCATTCTTTAAATTCAAAATACTTAATTTATTTATCACCCTTAGTTCCCTAGTTTACCCATTTGTATACACTGGGGTAACGAAGGAGTCGGCAACTAACCATATAAATAAAAATTACAATTCATGCCCGCATGGGTAGTAGCTCAACTGGTTCCGATCAACATCTTGAAATCGCACAACAATTTTCTATAATTAAAAGAGTACAAAATACTCATAAACTAGAAAACATATTTCTTAAATTAAAAGGAAAAAGAAAAAGAAAAACTAAAGCTAATGATTCTATATATATAAAGTACCACTGAAATGAGGTGAGTTACTCATCCCCGAACGGCGAAACTAAGCTTTCGACGTAGATATTGGCATCGAAGTTCTGAACACTAGAATCGTCGGTAAAAACATCGTCAACTCGAAACGTATGCAACAAATTACCCCCATTACAAAAAACCACATCCAATCCGCGAGACTTCGGGTTGGCCACTACGATATCTCCATTCTCGATCATCAACCACAACGGGCACAAGAATATTCCGCGCACCATCCCATCACAATTAGTTGTCAAAAACCGCACCCAAGATTCCGTCTCGCCGTACTTTGTCATAACCCAAACATTCACCCTGTAATTTTCATTAAGATTAGTCAAACTTAGATACCCTCCCAATTCATGCAACCGTGGTCGATAGTGCGCATGATTCGAAAAGTACTCGGGCCGGCCCACGATCCCATATTTCTCCTCCGACAAATCAAGAGAAACAATTTCCCAACAAACACACTCTTTCGGATCCGTCAGCCAATGCAGCTTTCCGTTCACACACTTGCCGTGCATAAACTTGCCGCAACTGAAAAACCTAAGCCTCCTAAATCTAGCCATGTCGAAATCCTCGATTTTCTTCCAAGAACCGGTCCTCGAACTATAAATCTCGGTGGCGGTCCTGCGCGGCTTTTCTTTATATGTGAAGAAAACGCACGCGATTTTATATTCGTCGGCGATTTCGTCGTGCCCGAATCCGTACGCGAAAGCTCCCCGATGGATATCCCATAAGTCGTCGCTAAATGCGTGACATGCGGGCGGATCAATTCTCTTGGCTCGTCGTGTCGTAGGGTTCCATACGAATAAATTTGCCCTGTCTACCGAGATGAGTACTAGCCCGTTACACGATCCCAATATCTCGAGTATATAACTATCACTAGGGTAGTATTGCACATAACTATTGTAATCGTAAACATCAAAATTATCGGTGGCTGGATTGAAATATTTCCGACGGAGAATATTATTACAGCCGTAGCGGATATGGTTCATTAATGGAGGACGATCGAAACTTGCGATGGTCGAATTATCGAGTGAAGAAAGGAGAGAGCACGACTTGAAACCGCGATCGATGAGGTAAGCGAAACTGCGGTCGATGACGTCGGTGTTTAAGATGATGAGCTTTTGATGGCTCAAATTTGTTCTCGATTTCTTGAGGTGGTGTTTGGTGAATTGTTTGCTGGAGATTAAAAAACGCCATCGTTTCGAGACGCACTTGAATCTCAATAGGGATTTCACCGGCAAATTGGACAATATTTCTTCGATTATTTCGTCGGGAAGATGGTACAATATTGTGCTCGTAGACCCCATTATTCTCGGTTTGCTTAGGTTTACGAGATCCTACACCTGGTGAAATATATGGTTTTAAAACGTATGTATATGTATATATATATATATATATATATATATATATATATATATATATATATATATATATATATATATATATATATATATATATATATATATATATATATATATATATATATCACATGATTAACTTGTTTGTAGAATTGCACCATTAATACGGAGTAATTGTGGAAGCAAATCAAATTAGGATTCTCTTTCATCAAACAATTCGAATTAAATCAGGATGCTCTTTCCTTAGCCAATTTTAATTAATAAGCAAAATCTATTAACATAAATATTTTTTTTTTGGTAAACATTTAGCCCTAATTCCTTCAACATACTCAATTCAAAATTGATCAATGATGAACTTAGACTTACAATTAGGGGTTTCAAATTGTTTTTTTTTCTTTTAATATATTACCATATTTGTTTTTAAAATTATCTATTTTTTGCAATAACACGACATATTTAATCTTTTTATAAATTTCTAAATTCAACAATTAAATAAAAAATTTAAAGATTAGATAATTACTTTAATTTTCAAACTATTATTATGGTGGGCTAAAATTAAATTCTTACATCGAAATGCGATTCAAAATAGGATATCAATAATTATTGTATATATATATTTTTTTACTTTAATCCATGAACGTTTATTTCTATTTTTTTTAAGGGGTAATTTGCTATAGGTCCTCCTCTAAGAGATTATATGTGTTAAAATCCATCTAATAAACTCTAATTTCCAGCAGATTTTATTATATGTAATTTGTCAAAAACACCCCTATCAATATATGGTAAAATAAATCTTCAAAATCAAATCCCCAATTTTTCTCCCTATATTATACAACAAATCCGAAAATTACGACTGCAACTCTTTTGATATCGATTCTTCCCTGTTTTTTTAAAACTAAAATCACCACAAATTTTGAAGCCTTCCATAGATTTGGGTGTCTGAGCGTTTGCAATTTACAAGGTCGTTTGCAGTTTGCCTTCATTCCCTTTTCCTTCGTTCGATTTGTTGTTTACCAATTTGCCTTCGTGTCGTTTGCTGTTTAGAAATTGTTTGTTGTTCGGTAACAACTCAGGTTGTAAAAGATGCACCACCGCTACAAACGTCGCGCCACTGCCGCAATCGCCCGCTTATGTCTCTATGAAATGCAAATAGCAAACTAATAATTAAAACTTGCATTATTGAATTTAAAACAACAAACTACCTATGAATTCACCAAATACAAACAATCAATCGAACAAGTAAAAAAATCAGCATCATCTAATTACAAAAAATAAAATGAAAATATGATATGCAATATCTAAATGCAAATAATAAAAATAAAAATACAGAACAAAAATATCATACATATCATAAAAATGCAAAAAATAACAAAATTATAAAAAATATTTTATCAATGCAAAATTGCAATTTGCAGTTTGCAACAAAATCTACTGTTATCGATTGCAATTTGCAGTTTGTAACAGCAATTTGATTTTGCAGTTTCATTATTTTGTTTTTTGCTATCATACATATCATAAAAATGCAAAAAATAACAATAAAATTATAAAAAATATTCTATCAATGCAAAAATTGCAATTTGCAGTTTGCAACAAAATCTACTGTTATCGATTGCAATTTGCAGTTTGTAACAACAATTTGATTTTGCAGTTTCATTTTTTTGTTTTTTGCTATTTATTGAACCGAAATCAATTAGAAATACAAACAAACATTATAAACTCACTACAGATAAATACAAAACGAGAAAAAAAAAAACTCACCTTGTGCAAGCAATGAGCGATTTATGTTTGTTGTCCGCTTTTAACTCTTTCACCGAAAAATCATCTAATAATGTAAAGCTTCAATTTTTTTTTTCATTCCCTACAACATAATCCAAAAGAATTCGAATTCCAAAGAAAAAAAAATCGAACAGATGTAATCGAGAAAGGGTATAGAGAAAGAAAGAAGTTGATCGGAAAAAAAAATCGAAAAGTGTTGATCGAAAAGAAAAAAAAATCAGAAGAAAAAAACCAGAGACACGAGATGGAGAGGAAGAGAAATATGAGAGATTATATAGGAAGAAAGATACGTAAGATTGGAGAGAGAGAGAGTGTATGAGATTTGTTTTCTTATTAATTGAGGGTGTTTATGTCTATATACTAATTGTTTTATTTTATTTATATTATTTTTTTGTGATAAATGACCTATGCCTATATTCATCTAGCAACTAGGATCTCTACCTATATAAGTCCAGAATAAGGGGTGTCTAGTCAATTTCCCCTTTTTTTAATATGTGCACACCAAACAAGACAAACCGAATATTTAATTGAAGTACTCATCTGAAAAAAAAAATTAATAATAATAATTTAAGTTATTGAATACCATGGGGCTTAAACGAGATATAATTGTTTTCACGTAGTTTTTATTTTACACATACTCCCTATATATCTTTTCTAATTACACTTACACCCCTCAAATTTTAAATATTAAATAGATCACAAATATATGCTCGATCAGAGGTAGTCAGATGTTACGCTAGGTTATTTACACCGGATTATGTGCAGATCTACGATTATACATAATAGCACTAATGGAGAAAATATATAGCAATGGTTTAAGCTATGAAGTGTGAGTGTGTGTGTGTGTATATATGTACACTATATTGCCTGTAATATATTCATAGACAAGAACATTATATATAAATTCGCTTCTAATAAACCCCCAAAATTCTTGAAATCAAAACAATGTCTAGAAAAAGATGACTAAATATTCATAAATTAGAAACATGTTATTTTGAAAATTAAAAAGATTTAAGTCACAGAACATATACGACAGTAGATCGATCATTGTTGATCCCCAAACGGTGAAACTAAGCTTTCGACAAAGATTTTGGCTTCAAACTCAACATCGAGGCAACTCGGATCGTCAACCGTACGAACTCGAGACGTATGCAACACATTACTTCCATTATAAACAACCACGTCCAATCCATACGACACTGCAAAAGTCACTACGATATCTCCATTCTCGATTCTCGTCAACCACAACGGGCACACAGTATTTCCGCGATGGCCGTATAACATCATATCGCAACAAAGTTTCCAAACCCTAGTCCAAGAATATTCCGCCTCGCCACACTTTTTCGTCATAACCCAAACATCCATATCCAAATTCCGGTCAAAACTAGTCAAACTTAGACAACCTCCCAAATCGTGCAACCGTGGTCGATAATGCGTACGGCTCTGCGGTGGGCCCACCATTTCGTATTTCTCCTCCGCCAAATCAAGAGAAACAATATCCCAACGACCGCGTTTATTCTTGTCCTCCTCCGTCATCCAATGCAGCTTTCCGTTCACAAACGTGCCGCAAATATCCAACCTAAAAAAGCCCTTTTCGAAACTCTCGACTCTCTTCCAAGAATTAGCCCTCCTACTGTAAATCATCGTGGTGGTGGTATTGTGCGGCTTTTCGTACTCGACGAAAAAACAGACGACCTTGTAGTCCTCGGTGGATTCATCGTACCCTAATCCGTACACGAAAGATCCGCCGTCTATAAAGTCATCGCTATAAAAATAACGACTGCGGTTCTCGGGCGGGGAAATATTCTTGGCTTGTCTCGTTGTAGGGTTCCATAAAATTAAATTCCTCACATCAACCGAGACGAGTAGCAACCCGTTGCACGATCCCAACACCTCGAGTAAAAAATCGCAGCGAGGGTAGTTACTAAACCTCCTTCTCGTTCTTCTCGCTGACGTCATCATCGTCGTCGCCATCATCGGATAATGTGTGGTCGGGTTGTACAGCCGGCGGAGGTTATAGTGCTCGTCTCTTTCATCGGAAAAACTGGTGATACTGCTACTACTTCTCATGGGGATGCGATCGGCTGTGCGCAGGTCCATCCGATGATGATCGAAACTCGCGACGTTCGAATTCTCGATTAGGGTTTGGAGAGAGCATGACCTGAAACTGCGGTTGATGACGTCACTGTTCAAGATGATGAGCTTTTGACGGCTCAAATTTGTTCTTGATTTCTTGAGGTGGTGTTGGGCGAATTTTTTGCTGGAGATTAAAAAACGCCATCGTTTCGAAACGCACTTGAATCTGAACAGGGATTTAACCGGAAGTTTGTATAGGATTTCTTCGATTATTTCTTGGGGAAGATGGTCCAGGGTTTTTGATCTCTTCTCCTCCGTTGCCATTCTTGATTGCTAATTAATTACTAATTAGCTAGAGATTTATTAACCCTAGATAATGAAGAATCGTTTATTATTAGGATTCAAACAAATTAGGGTTAATACATCAAACAATTCAAAAAGGGTAAATTACGGTTACACTCGCCCCTAAGTTAAGATTAAATTACAGAAAAAACCCTCTTGTTTGGGTAATTACTAATTATAACCATCCTTTTAAGTGTCGTCTTCCACGTGTAATTTTTACGGTGTCAAATTTACCTACTGAATGAGTGATTTTTTTCGTAAAACAATACATAATTGATGGGATGGTTGTGATTACCCAAATATAAAGGGTTTTTTCGTAATTTCATCTTCATTCAGGGGTGTTCGTAATTTGACAAAATTCAAAATCAAGATTAGGAGTCTCTTTCCTTATCCAATAGATTCATTCTATAAATTCAAACTTATACGATACTTACCAAGTTCAAGAAGCTAACCTTTTGTTTTTGGAAAAGATAAAAATGAAAAATATAACTAAAATTCTTTCTTTTAAAATTTCATATGTAAATAATTTAAAAATCTACATATCCTTTTTTTTTTTAGCCATATCATATATTATTTATTTTGATTTTCATATCTAAACAATGAATCTATTGAATCAAAAGAATAAGGGTGTAAACAATCGAACGCATGGTTGTTCAATTTTTTTTATTATACGAGACTAGTAGCACGTACTATATACTATTATTGGCGGTGAAGTTGTTGTTCGTCGCCAAACGGTGAAACTAAGCTTTCAACATGCGTCAAAGCCAACATCAAAATAACTAGGATCACCAACCCTACGAACTCGAGACGTATGCAACACATTACTTCCATTATAAACAACCACGTCGAATCTGTAAGACATGTGAAAAGACACTACGATATTATCTCCAATCTCGATTCTCGTCAACCATAACGGGGCACGCGAGTCCACGTTTATCAAAACACATCATATTTCATCATTTTGTTGCAAATAATTTCTCACATTATAAAGTGTAAAATCGTTTGCAAAATTGCGATAACTATGATGAATGCAAAAGTTGCAAACGAAACTTTGTCACTAGTTGAAGGGAATAATTAAAACACAATAATTAATCAATAATAATCCTAGTTGAAGAGAACGAAATATTAATAAATTAAATTAGAAAACATGTTCCCTAATAAAAAAGATTAAAGTTGCACAACATATGTATATATATAGCTAGCTAGTAAGTATTAATTATCCTTGGCCTGGTAGGAGAGTTGTTGTTCATCATCGCCGGGCGAACGGTGAAACTAAGGTTTCGACGTAGACATTGGCCTCAAAATCAACATTCATACGAGTAGGATCGACGATATCAACTCGAGACATGTGTTGCAACACACGACTACTACTTCCTCCTTTACAAAACCACACGCATTCCAGATGGCACCGGAAAAGGCACTAGGATATCAACCGATCCAACTCAGTCCCAGCCCTAGTTGTAACTACACTTGTGTGATGAGGGGCGTTTGTCAAATTTTCTCTTTTATAAAATGCTTGTTTCTAATTTTTGATTTTCTTGCAAATAATTTCTCACATTATGAAGGGTAAAATCGTCTCCAAAAATGCAATAACTATGGTCAACGGGCCAGATTAGATTTGACTATGTTATTGGCTAATGATGAATGCAAAGTTGCAAACTTTATGCTTTATCAAATTTTGTCAGTAGTTGAAGTTAATAAATACAACAGTAATCAATAATCATAGTTGAGGACGAAATATTCATAAATAATAAATTAGAAAAGATGTTCCCTACTAAAAAAAAAGATTAAACTTGAACAACATATATATATATATATATATATATATATATATATATATATATATATATATATATATATGAGACTTACTAGCTAGCTAGTAGTATTATCCTTGGCCTGGTCGGAGAGGAGTTGTTCATCATCGCCGCCGAACGGTGAAACTAAGCTTTCGACATAGACATTGGGCTCAAAGTGAAAATTGAAATGAGTAGGATCAACGATATCAACTCGAGACTTGTGCGACACACGACTACTTCCTCCTTTACAAAAAACCACACGCATTCCAGTTGGCGATGGAAAACACATTTCAATATCTCCATTCTCGACGGTCAACCATGACGGGCATGTACCAATTCTCATCTCACCACGAGGACAGGTCCAAAACTTAACCCAAGATTCCGTCTCGCCGTACTTTGTCATAACCCAAACATCCATACCACTTTCTTCGTTGAAGCAAGTCAAACTAAGGTGACCTCCCAACTCAAGCAACCGCGGTTGGCAATGATTATGACTCGAAAGGTACTGCGGCCGGCCCACAATTTCGTATTTCTCCTCCGCCAAATCAAAACCGACGATTTCCCAATTATTTAAATATTCATCGTCATCATATACATCCTCTTTGTATGGAGACGTTAGCCAATGCAGCTTTCCGTTCACAAACTTGCCCTTTGTAAACATGCCGAGTTCAAAATTGCACCTAACTAGTACTCCCTTTTCGAAATTCTCAATTTTCTTCCAAGTATTAGTCCTCCAACTGTAAATCTCTGTGGTGGTCCTACGTTGCTTCATTGGACCCAAGACGAATACGCATACAATCTTGTAGTCGTCGGTGGAGTCATCGTAACCGAACCCATATATGAAATATCCGCATCGGAAGTCCCATGCATCGGTAAAACCATAAGATTCGGGTGAGGCAATTTTCTTGGCTTGTCTTGTTGTAGGATTCCACAAGAATAAATTCCCTTTGTCTACGGAGATGAGTATTAGGCCATTGCACGATCCCAATATCCCAAATTGAAAACTACCTGCACGAGGGTAATATCGTCCATATTCTTTATCATCATTGTTAAGTGTATATTTTTACACTTTATCGTATCTTTTTATTTGAGCTTTTGGTGTGTTTTAACGATAATTGGTGCTTAAAAAGTTGATTTATTGTATTTTAGGTACAAATTGAAGAATTGGAAAAGTATGGGGTCAAAACTGCAATTTTGGAGAAAATATGGGCCAAAAGTGAAAAAAGCAGAATTCTGGAGAATAGACCGCGCGGCCGTGCGGATTTTAGGCATAAATCTCACACGGCCGTCCGGATGGGCGAGTTGGCGCAGTGAAGGAATCTTAATTGTACAAGGAAACTGCCTTCTTCCCCAAGTTTTTCACCCTATATAAGACCAAGCCAAGCACACAATTAGGAATCCATCTTTTTACGCAATTTCAAGAGCAACAAAGCAATAACGAAGAATTCGAAGACTCCAAGCAAAGATTTATCGTCTATGATTTATTTTATTTGCGTTTTTGATTTAATTATGAGTAGCTAAACTACTTATTTCTAGGATTTTATTTGGAACCCTATGTGGGATTTATGAACCCAATTCTATGATTTTATACAAGTTTTAATTCCGGATTATTTCTTCTACTTGTTTTATTAAGTGCATGAATTTGATCACCTTATGTGCTTTTATGTTATTGTTAATCGCATGAATCGGAAGATCGGGTTAATAATTAGAACTGTGGTAGAAGAGCCTTTGTGGTATTAACATAGGAATATAGTTAATCTCTTAGGTAGCCATTATTGAGATTTGTGTTTAATGCTGTGTTCTAGAATTAATTGCATAGGAATATAGTAATTGAATCTAGAGTATTAGAATCGTAATACACGCGGAAGCGGGTTATGATTATTTTAGCATCTCAGGTTAATAATCCGGGTTAATTACTTGCATAATTGAAGGAATTGGGGGAATAATAATCACATAGGGGGAAGAATAAAATCCTAGGCTTGTCTACTTTGATTAATCTTCGTTTTAATTGCTTTCTTGTTTTTGTCTTTTTAATTGCTTTAGTTTAATTTAGCTTATTAATCATCTTTCGACTGTGTAGGGTGGGCTTGATAACAATTGGTAGAATTTAGCGTCTAGGATTAGATAATTAAATATTCCCTGTGGGTTCGATATCCGGACTTAATTGTCCACTTTATTACTTGTACGATACGTGCACTTGCGTGTAGGTTTTCGCCCAACAAGTTTTTGGCGCCGTTGCCGGGGAATATTTTAATTATTTATTTTATTCTAGCTCTAGATTTGAACAATTTTCACGATTCACCCATTTAATTTTCGTTTTATTTTATTTTTGTTTTAGGTACTTTGTATGCACAGGAGACTCGATCTTGCTAGAGAACCGTTTGATCCCGAAATCGAACGTACTTTTCGAGACGCTAGGAGACTTCAACGCGCAAACGATATAATGGAGGACGAAGAACGCAGGGCAGCGGGTAATTTACTCGGAGCCAACGGAAACCAAGTCCAAGACCCACCCCCTCAACTTCCATTACAACCAGCAGTTAGGCCACGGGCACTTCAAGATTACATAATCCCGACTCATGACGGATTCCGCCCGAGCATCCAATATCCACCTATTGAGGCGCACAATTTTGAGATCAAGCAAGGCCTATTGACGATGCTCCAAAATAACGGGCTATTTAGTGGATTGGCGGGTGAAGATCCCCATCTTCACATTGTCAATTTTCTAGATACCTGTAATTCCCACCGTCAAAACGGCGTTTCCCAAGAGGCGCTTCAATTAATTCTCTTCAAGCACTCTTTACAAGGAAGAGCTCGCCAGTGGTTGATGTCCCAAGCCCCCCACTCTATCTCGTCGTGGTCTCAACTCCTCAACCTTTTCATGAAAGTTTACAGCTCACCCGAGAAGGACGAGAGAATCCGACGAGAAATTCACAATTTTGTCCAAGAGCAAGGCGAGCAATTATACGAGGCATGGGAGAGATTTAAAACTCTTTTGCGGCAGTGTCCAACACATGGAGTCGAACAATGGCGGCAAATCCACATCTTCTACCAAGGGATTAACGAGAATGCACGAACGGTCTTAGATGCATCAACCGGGGGGAATTTTATGAGTCAATCGATACCGGATGCATTTATCATGTTAGATCAAATTGCTCAAAATCGGTTTGCCAAGTCAAGCGAGAGGACGGTTAGTGGATCCAAGAAAGTTCCCGGAGTGTTGGAGTTAGATGCAATTACGGCCCTTCAAGCTCAAGTGACCCAAATTGCTCAACAAAATCAACTCCTTCTGCAGCACATCAAAGCAAGTCCGCCACAACAAGTCCAAGCAATTGAGTCTCCATGTTGCGAAATTTGCGGGGGAAATCATTACACACTCCAATGCCAACAAGATGTGGAGTCGCTCAACTACGTCAACTACGCGCCTCGCCAATTCCAAAATCAAGGGTGGAGATCACAAGGGCAATATGGAGGAAATCTACAAGGCCAAGGATATCAAAGACCTTAAGGTCAATTCCAAAATCAAGCCCCTTCTCAACAAAGCT